CTTATATTTTCCATAGGTGAGACATTAAAAGCCCTCTATAGGTCATCAGTTTAGCATTACAGAGGAGGTCTGATGCTATAAATATTGCTCTCACTCCGGCATGCACAGCTATATATAACATATTATCGCAATTGACGTTTTCATGCATAGGCGCCCCCAACATATGCATTTACATTTGTATGTGTGGTGGGGGGCATCATAATTATTTTTGGGGGGATTTTACGTGCTTGGGTGTTACTAATTTTTTTACTATTTAATAAAAAAAATGATGGCTACCTTCGAAGCGGTTCCGTATGCCCATTTTCATATGAGAACACTACAGAGGGAAATCCTGTTGATGAGGGCCTCCCTTCTTTGGTGGATGAGGTCCCCGGCTCTAGAGAATGGAAAGTCTTTCCTCCCCATTCGTTGGACTGTGGTCACGACAGATGCCAGCCTGTTGGCCTTAGGAGGAGTCCTGGGAGCGGACTCTGATCAGGGTCGATTGATTCCAGGGGAAGCTTGTTTTACCCATCAATATAATGGAGCTTTGGGCAATCAGGTTGTCACTGACACATTGGATGGACCGTCTGTCGAGTCTGCCGTCCAGGATTCAGCTGGCCAACGACACTGCGGTGGTGTATGTCAACCATCTGGGGGGTACGAGAAGTGCAGCAGCGCTGGAGGCATCTCACATTCTGCAATGGGCGGAGAGGTTCGTTCTGGCTCTGTCCACCGTACACATTCCAGGCGTCAAAGTGAAAAATGGATTATCTCAACTGTCAGACGCTGGACCAGGGCGAGTGGTCCCTACAACCGGAAGTGTTACATCAGCTCTGCATTTGTTGGGGGACTCCGGATGTGGATTTTCTAGCTTCCAGCCTAAATTGGAAGGTTCCACGGTTCGTGGCAAGATCATTGGATCCCCTGGCAGACGCAGCGGATGCCATGTTGGTGCCGTGGGATCAGTACACTCTCATCTACACTTTCCCACCCCTTCGACTGATTCCTTGTCTACTAAGCAGAATAGAAGCCGAAGGGATCCCAGGCATCCTCATTGCTTCAGACTGGCCTTGTCGTACATGGTACGCCGACGTGGTGCGATTGGTGGCGGATACTACCTGGAGGCTGCCTATTCGAGAAGACCTTCTGTCTCAGTGCATATATGCTCACCTCTTCTACACAAAAGCCCTGGCATAGCTGCTCTTGATTCTCCTCTAGTAATCATTACGAAGCTATATCCAGTGGAAAAGAATTCAGAAAAAAAAGGACTGTTTCAGATATTCGAGCTTGCCATCTCAGTCTTAAACATTTTACAGTCCTTATTAAAGATCCTTCATTTAAGGATTTTACAAACCGAACATTTGAGATGCTCTTGAAGGCTCTTCGCTTTTCGGGTCCTGCCTTGCAACCAGCTATTGTTGCAATTTCTGTTTGTCAAAGAGCTGCTAATTGGACTAGGCCAATGAACCGTCAACAGGATCCTGTATTTGGGGATGGTGTTCTGGTGAAACACTGACAAACATTGCCTTCCGCCCTACTTTTCTGTGTTTATGCACTAGAACAAGTCATTACACAAATATCCAGAATGGCATTCTATGGGCTTTGCCAGCCTGCTTCACAGTTGCTGGCTTTATCAACACAGTTGTTTAACCACCTCCCGTCTGGCCATTGTATATAAACGGCAGGACGGTGGCAGTGCAGGGACGGGTGGCTGTTTATAAACGGCCTCCCCGCCCCCTGCTTGTGCACGCTCCCTGGAGCGCACAGCACCGCGATCCAGTGCCCGCTGTGTCCCCCAGAAAAAAATACCACCAAAAGAAAGCTTTATCTGTCTCAAAAAAATGCTAAAAAATTAATATGGGTGCAGTGTTGCGTGACCGCGCAATTGTCATTCAAAGTGTGATGGCGCTAAAAGTTGATAATTGGCCTGGACAGGAAGGGGGTAAAAGTGTCCGGACTTGAAGTGGTTAAGCCCAGATTCTAAGAGACAAGGCGTCCCTGAATCACTGATACCTACAATGGTTTATACAGAGTCTACTTCCCACTAAATGTATCATTGGACATAGAAGGCATACTTTACTTGATGTGGGATGAAGAGTTTCCCACCTAGGAGTTTAACTGTGGGACAAATCATCTCCTTCCTACAGCTGGGTCTGCACCAGTGTTTGGCTCTCAGCACTCTCAAAGGTTCAGTTTCTACAATTTCCAAAAGTTGGGTTTGCGCCAGTGTTTTGCCTTTCACCACTATCAAAGGTTAGTTTTATGCAATTTTATATCTTGTTTCAGAGACAGTTGGTCTCTTACTCCTCCTTGATTAAGAGACATTTGTGCAGGAAGTTTCCTCATGTAGCTCCGACTTTTTTTTTTTTCCGTGACTCACTGGGATCTGCATTTGGTTCTTTCTGTGATCCAGAAACCACCATCATTTGAACCCATTAGAAACATTCCCCTCTCTACTCCCCCCACCAGGAGTTATTTCTTGTAGCCATCACCTCTGAAAAATTAGTGTCTGAATTGGTGGCTTTTTCCTCCAAGGAACCTTTTCTTGTTTTGCATAGTCGCATCCTTGGTGGATCGTGTTCATCATTTTATAAGTTTGTTTATGGCAAATTTACACTTACTGCTGTTGGATTTTTTTCAAGAGACCTTGGCACAGCAGCTATGCAAGGCAGCTACCGGTTGCCCCCTTTTTTAAAAGGCTTTTTGCCCCATGCATACTACTTCTTCATTCGCATGTATTGGATTTTTTTATTTTAGTGGCTCCTTCCTTGTTGTGCTATGCTGAAAAGTGATAAAATTGAGTTAGGCAGCGACTGTCAATCCATATGTAGTAGCGGTTATCCTTCATATTTTTCAGCACTCTGCTTCCTAGGAGTGGGAGTAAAAATTCAATGTTTCTCTGTCCTTTATATTTGTTATTGAAAAGGATTTTGCAGTGAGCACAAACGAATGAAAGAATGTAATTCAAATACATAGTGCTGCCAAAGGGGGGATTTTTTTCATATTTGGGTTGGAAAATGCTTTAATTTAATAGCGGAGTATCCCACTTAATTCTTGAGATTGGTCATTTAAAGTGTTACTAAACCCAGGACCCTGATTCACTATGTCTGGTCTCCCACAGTACACACAACATGGAAATGCAATTATTTTAGTAATTCTAAACTGCTAAATACCTTTTTCTCATCAGACGTTAGAGCAGTCTTATGGCTTCTATTAGTGTTCAGCCAAGCACTAGCTAAAGCTTGTAGGAGTTTTTTCTCTACTCTAGGAGGATGCAAAACCCCTGATCTCTGTCTGACCAGTGCTGATTGGTCCTGTGCTGATCACATTTACTCTCCCAATTAAGAGAACCCTCTAGCAATACACACCAAACTGAGCATGTGCAAAATGCCTACGGTTCAGTCTGTCTTATCAGGAAGGTGATAAGAGGTGATCGCTTGAAAAAGGAGAGGAACAAAGAAAAAAGAATCAAACTGCCTTTTTACCCAGTGCAGAGGATTAACCCCTTAGGTTCCACAGTGAGTATAACAAGCATGCTTTACTGCATATACAGGCTTATTTTACTGTTGTGGGTTTAGTAACACTTTAATTTTTACATAAGCTATACATTCATAGCATACACATGAACACATAACATTGACCTGAGGTATATGAATTGAACCTGTGTGAAAATTATTTTAAATGTTTAAACATTTTGTTTTTAGGAAGCGTTAAAACTACAACAGGATATGAGGAAGAAAAAACAGGAAATGTTAGAAAAGCAAATAGAATATCAGAAGGTATGCACATCTTTTTTTTGACTGTTTATGCAAGAGCAATTTCTACTTCAGTTGTTACATTATCATAACATTTGTACTATGGCATAGCCTGTTATAAGGTGTTTAGACTCATAGGATTTCATGTTTATGCTTTCATTGTGGATTCTTGTCCTGGCTTTATGTACCACTCCATAGTAGTGCTAGAAAAGGCTTCATTTTCCTGAAATGAAATCATTTATCCATAACACTCCTTATAGACTACGTTTCTTGAGACATTCTTATCTGACAGTTAAGAGATGTACAGTTAGGTCCATATATATTTGGACACGGGCAAATTTTTAGATTTTTCAGGTATTTGCCACATCATATTCAAGCTATAGTTATATAATGGATATGGGCTGAAAGTGCACACTCTCAGGTTTAATTTGAGGGTATGTACATCCAAATTGGAGGAAGGGTTTAGGGATTACAGCTCTTAGGAGTAGCCATCCCCACTTTTTCAAGGGACCAAAAGTAATTGGACAATTGAATCAAAAGTGATTTCATGGCCAGGTGTGGGATACTCCTTCATTCTTTCTTCATCAATTAAGCAGGTAAAAGGTCTGGAGTTGATTCTAAGTGTGGTATTTGCATTTAAAATCTATTGCTGTGAACCTATATCATGTGTCCAAAGGAGCTGTCCATGCAAGTGAAACAGGCCATTGTAAGGTTTCAAAAATGAAACAAATCCATCAGAGAGAGAGCATCAACATTAGGAGTGACCTAATCAACAGATTGGTACATTCTGAGGAAAGAAGAATGCACTGGTGAACTCGGCAACATAAAAAGACATGGACATCCACAGAAGACATCAGTGGTAGATGATCTCAGGATCCTCCCTATGGAAAAGGAAAAAACCCATTCACAATATCCGAACAAGTAAAGGACACTCTCCAGGAGGTGGCATATCATTGTCAAAGTCTACAATCAAATCTAATATTCACTTTTCTTCAGTTTTTTTTTAGAGGAACACCACAAATTTGATACATTTTTCTTCATGTTTTGATTTGGAATAGAATGTGTAGTGTTCCCAATGCATTTGTGTGTATGGAAACAAAAGCTATTAGAAGGATTTGGAGCTTTATTCACTTTTTTCAACACACTGCTATTATTTTGAACACAACTGTATATGGAGCTAACTGTATGTGCAGATATGGTACTTGAAAACGTATGCTACTTTTTCGTCGCAAATAATACCTTGTATATTTTCAGATGTTGATATCAAAACTAGAGAAAAACAAAACCATGAAAGCAGAAGAGAGGACAGAAATCATGAAAACGCTAAAGGCACTGGATGAGAAGATCTCTCAGGTGAAAGATGAGTTGAAGACACTAGCTGCTCCATCAAAAGTGAAATCTAAGACTGAGGTATGTTTATCAAATCCAAACCACCTCCCTACCACTGTATTTTAGCCTCTTGCACTCTGGAAGATTTACCCCCTTAAAGTGTATATCTGGTCTCCCACAGTACTCAGAACACGGAAATTCAATTATTTTAGTAAATATAAACTACATACCCTTTCTCATCAGCAATTACAGCAGTCTTGTGGCTTCTATCAGTGTCCAGCAAGCACTGTTCAAAGCTTGTAGGAGGAGTTTTCTTTCTGCTCTAGTAGGATGCTAAACCACTGACCCTCTGTCTGGACAGTGCTGATTGGCCCTGTGCTGATCACATGCACTCTCCCAAGAAAAAAAAAAAAACCTTTCTAGCAATACACACCAAACTGATCATGTGCATGTGGCTATGGGTCCAGTCTGCCTTATCAAGAGATAAGACGTGGACATTTTGAACAGGAGGAGGGGCAGAGAAGAGGGGATCAAACGACCTTTTAACACAATGGGGATTACCCCTCAGATTCCACAGTGAGTATAACAAGCATGCTTTTATGCATGTATAGACTGATTTTACTGTTGTAGGTTTAGTAACACTTTAATGACCAGGCCATTTTTTGCTATTCTGCACTGCGCTATTTCAACTGGTAATTGCACAGTCATGCAATGCTGAATCCAAATGAAATGCAAGTCCTTTTTTCACACAAATAGAGCTTTTTTTGGTGATATTTGGTCACCAGTGGGTTTGTTTTTTTTATATATAAATGATAAAAAATATTGAAAGTTTTGAAAAAGAAACAATTTTTTGTACTTTCAGTTATAAAACAATATCCATTAAACTCAAAGTTGGTCATAAACTTGGGCCAAAATGTATTCTGCTACGTCTTTGATAAAAAAAAAAATCACAATACATGTATATTAATTGGTTTGTGTGAATATTATAGCAGCTACAGACTATAGTATATATATTGGAATTTACGCAGCTTTTACTTTCTTACTGCCATTTCTTGAGGTGCTAAAATGCCCCTCAAAAACTCCTCACTTGACCCCTTTTTGGAAAGTAGACACCCCAAGAAACTTGCTGAGGCATATTGAGTCCATAGAACATTTTATTTTTTGCCACAAATTTTTGGAAAAATTACCCAAATTTTTTTTTTTTCTTTTACACAAAGTTGTCACTTAAATGATATGTTGCTCACGCCTGCCATGGGTATAAGTGGAATAACACCCCAAAACACATTCTGCTACTTCTGTCGAGTATGGGAATACCACAAGAGACTTTTTGGCAGCCTAGCTACATACAGGCCCCCAAAATTTAATCACCACCTCCAGGCTTTCAAAGGGCATATTTCCTCATATCACTTCCTCACTACCTACCACAGTTTCGGAGGCCCTAAAATGCCAGGATAGTACAAACACCCTAAAAGACCCCTGTTTGGAAAGTAGACCACTCAAGGAATCAGATAAGAGGCATGGTGAGTATTTTGCAAATATAATTTTTGACACCGGGTTTTGAAAATGAATAAAAGAAAAAATACTTTTTTGTTTTCTTTTTTTGCTTTCCAGAGACTTGTGGCAACAAATGAAATTGCAAAATACCATGCCTCTTAGCAAAAACCTTGGAGTGTCTACTTTCCAGAAAGGGGTCATTGGGTGAGGGGTGCTTCTACTGTCCTGGCATTTCAGGGCCAGCATTAGAAGCTTATGCCACACATCACCCACTTTTCTAAACACTTGAAGACCAAGCCTTTTCTGACACTGTTTACTTGAAAAAAAAAAAAAAACAGGTTTTTTTTTTTTGCTTGAAAATTACTTTGAATCCCCAAGCATTTATATATATATATATTTTTTTTTTTTTTTTTTTTAAAGTGGAGGCCCTAGAGAATAAAATGATGGGTGTTGACATTTTTTAAGTCACACAGTATTTGCGCAGTAATTTTTACATTTTTTGGAAGAAATCCACTTTTTGTTTGATAAAATATAAAAGATTGTTACACCAAGTAAATGGATACCAAACATGACATGCTTCAAATAATAATAATTTTTATTATCCATAGGCAACACTTTAAAAGCTTTTTACAGGTCACCACTTCAGATTTACACTAGAAGTCTTGTGCTAGAATCACTGCCCTCAATCTGACGTTCGCAGTGATACCTCCATACATTCATGGTACATGTTTACATACCGCCACGGGACCTTTGCTTGTGTTTGCCTTTGCGCATGGGGGTGAAATTTTTTTATATTTTTTATTTTGCTTTTTTAAATTATTTTTACACTGTCCCTCTTTTTTTTTTTTTTTTTTTTTTTTTTTTCGATCACAATTTTAAATTGCCGGTTCTTGGAATTCCCTACTCTACAATTTTGAGGAGGTCAGGTCCAGAATCCAAGGTTTCTTTATCAATGAAAATTTGACGGCGGTGTTGGAGGATAAACATAAGTTTCTCTCTTTTTGGCAACCATGGGTGGATTACCATCCAGTTCCTCGTTTTACCAGGAAACTTACTAATCTATGATGTGTTGGGTTTTGCCTCCCCCTTATGTTGGGATCTTGTCTCCCATCCCCCCCCCCCCCAGGCGAACTTTCACTTTGCTGGCCTGTTTCTTTCTTCTCTCCGCTCTTTTTCTTCCTTTTGTTTTCCTGTTTTCTATGGATTGGGGGAGTCTGGGAGTTTTTTTTTTTTTATCCCTTGGCCCTCTCTGGATCTACTTGACTCTTTTTTTTCTTCTTTCTCTCTTTTATATGGTTTGTTAATATTAGACCAATTTTTCTCTCATTTTGTTATTGTTATCTAACAAATCTATGATTCTCGGGGACAATATTGCCTCATGAGGGTGTGGCTTTTTTTTTTTTTTCTTTTTTTTTTTTTTTGTTGCCTTCTTGCATGTAGCTTTTATATTTCTGAATGTGGTTGTGGGCCTTGCGGCCCTCTGCCTTACACAGTGTTATCTAGACCACAGCGTGGGTCTTATATGTGTATTTCTGTGTTTGTTGTATGATGTTTCCCCATCCTCTATTGTTTGTTGTTGATTTGTATCATACGATTTGTCATGGTTTGTATGTTTCTTTCAACATGCTTTAATAAAATCTTTGGTAAAGAAAAATAAATTAGAATTTGTTCCAGATGGTGACCACCAAAGGGCGTCTGCCCCAGGAACTGTGAGTAGGGCTTCAGGCACACCAACAGGGCAACTAAAAAAGGGGGACAGCATAAGTACCACACTGATGGAGATTTAGGACAAATTTAGCCCAAAGTCACACCAAAAATAAACTTGAAGGAAACGTGAGATCCTAGTGGTGCAAGACGGGTCCCAGAGGATGTCTCTAGGTGATCCCGTGATCCGCCCTCTTTCTTTACTTCTGTTGTGGGGGGTAGCTGAGCTGTCATTCGACTTGTCAAAAACAGTGAATTCCATCCCTGCTGGCTGACAGCAAGGAGGAGTCAAAACGCAGTAGTATCAAAAACTGATCAAAACACAACTAAATTGCACTACATAATTGCACTGAAATTCGGATAAAATTGCAGCTACACTAGTGTGAACTTGGCCTAGGGGACAGAGCTGTCACTGAGTCTGTCATTCTTACTTTGCTAAAAGCAAGAAAAGCCACTTCTGGAAGAATCTATTATTGTACCTGGAAGAATCTGTTATTGTACCTGGAAATCTTTATTCGCCTGGTGTGAACACAGGCACTTCACTGCATTTGGCTTCACTCTTCTATGTCAAAAGCTTTATTCAAGGTGTATCTCAGATCAGGCACCCCTTACAGCATCCTGTGCTTCCGTGTGACCTTAAAGCAGAACTGAGTACCAGAAACCAAAAACGCTGTTTAATTCATTTTATTATTTATTGCAAACTCACTCATCCATCCATTTCCCCATGCTTTATTTTGTTGGGAAATCACTTTGAAAAACACCCCCTAGCATTTCTAACTGCAACCTTCCTGAGTAAAGATGACCATACATTAATCATTTTTGTTCAACCAGCGGGTTGAATGTAAAAATTACCGATTTCCCCCCCCCCCTCATCCACACAATAGAGGTGGATGGGGGAATCTCCGCTGCTGTGTTAATGTATTCTGAAGACTGGAAGCCTTCCCAGCCGTCAGAATACACTGATCGCTTCCGTACAACCAGCCTGCCTGCACATAAATCAAACATTTTGGTTTTCCATGTTCAACTTGCTGAGTTTCGATCTATATATGGTCTCCCTGAGGGCAGATGACTTATGTAGTATTTTACTTCCTAGAAAAAGTAAATATAATGTACTTGCCTATCAATTTATTAAGGCTATAGCAGCATAAGGGTTAAAAATACACTGATTAAAAAAGTGTTCCTTTAATTTTGTTTGAGCAGAGTATAGCATTAATTCGGTTAAACTGCTGGTATATTGATCTGGTCAGTTACGTAACAGAGGGGGTTGTTAATCAGTTTCAGCTGCTTAGGTATTAATGAAATTAATAGCAGGTGCACTAGATGGGCAACAATGAGATGACTCGAAAACAGGAATGGTTTTACAGGTGGATGCCACAGATTTTTTTTCCCTACTCATCTTTTCTGACTGTTTTTCACTAGTTTTGCATTTGGCTAGGGTCAGTGTCACTACTGGTAGCAGGAGATGAAACGTGGACCCTACAGAGGTTGCACAGGCAGTCCAACTCCTCCAGGATGGCACATCAATAAATGCCATTGCCAGAAGGTTTGCTGTGTCTCCCAGCACAGTCTCGAGAGCATGGAGGATATTCCAGGAGACAGGCAGTTACTCCAGGAGAGCTGAACAGGGCTGTAGAAGGTCCTTAACCCATCAGCAGGACTGGTATCTGCTCCTTTTTGCAAGGAGCCCAACAAAATGACCCCCAGCAGGTGTCTGGTGTGATTGTCTGACCAAACAATCAGAAACAGACTTCATGAGGGTGGACTGAGGGTCCGATGTCCTCTAGTGGGCCCTGTGCTCACTGCCTGGCACCATAGAGCTTGATTGGCATTTGCCATTGAGCACCAGCATTGGCAGGTTTGCCACTGGCGCCCTGTGCTTTTCACAGATGAAAGCATTTTTACCCTGAGCACATGACAGACGTGAAAGGGTCTGGAGGAGCCTTGGAGAACATTATGCCACCTAATAACATCGTTCAGCATGACCCGTTTTGGTGGTGGGTCAGGTAGGCATATCCATGGTGGCATGCACAGACCTCTACAGGCTAGACAATGGCACCCTAACTGCCATTGGGTATCGGGATGAAATCCTTGGACCCATTGTCAGACCCTACACTTGTGCAGTTGGTCCTTGGCTCCTCCTGGTGCATGACAATGCCTGGCCTCATGTGGCGAGAGTATGCAGGCATTTCCTGAAAGAATAAGGAATTGATACCATTGAATCCCCACACTCGCCTTACCTAAATCCAATAGAACGCATCTGGAACATCATGTTTCGGTCCATCCGCCGCCGCCGCCAGATTGCACTTCAGACTGTCCAGGAGCTCAGTGATGCCCTGGTCCAGATCTGGGAGGAAATACCCCAGGACACCATCCGTCATCTCATTAGGAGCATGCCCATACGTTGTCAGGCATGCATACAAGCACATGGGGGCCCATACAAACTACTGAGTACCATTCTGAGTTGCTGCAATTAAATTTCAGCAAAATGAACTAGCCTGTTGCATCATTTTTTAATTTCGATTTTTAGGGTGTCCTGGAATGCAGTCCTCTGTAGGTTGATTTTCATTTTCATCAAACAATGGGGCAGCCTTACATTCCTAACACACTACCCAGTCCATATCTGTATAGATATCCAGCATGATATTTTTCCCCATTGATATCTGATGTGTTTTCAAACTGTTCCTTTAATTTTTTTGAGCGGTGTAGATAATGTTGATTGAGAGAGTAACATTCCACTTTAATCTGGGTCTTTGTGACCTTAAGAAACCACCTTTTGCACCTGTCAGGGAAATCCCCTTGATAATCTCTCCTGCAAAGTGACCCCCTGGATTGCTATCACATCTGTCAGAGCTAGTGGATCCCTTGTAAGGAGTCTTACATCCAAGACTATATTTTCTTCATAAGGTGGTATTCGTCTTCCACCTCAATGAAGATATAGTCCTATCTTAGTGCCCTGTTCCAAAGCACCCAAAGGAAGTTGCTCTTCACTGCCTGGATGTAGTGAGAGCCATCAGCCTCTACCTCAAAGCAACAGCTTCTGTCAGGAAGACAGACTTCCTATTCGTCCTTCCCTTAGGATCTTACAAAGGATTACTGCTTCCAAGTCCACCATCATTAGGTGGATAAGACAACTCATCAGAGCTTACATTCTAAAAGGGTGAAACTCCTCCTGCGTTTTTATGCGCTCACTCTACCAGGGTGCTGGTTTGTTTCTTGGACTTTTCGCTATCAAACCTCTGTTTCCCATCTTTGTAAGGCAGCCACTTGGTTCTCTACTCACACCTTTTCAATGTTGAACCAGGTTGATGTCAAGTCTTCTTCAGATGCAGCTTTCAGCTGCAAGGTTTCTGCAACAGCACTCTGAAGTTGGGTCTGTTGACCCTAGTTGTTGGTCCTGTTGGCACAGTTCTGTTTGCCTAATTGTTGCTTATCTTTCTCATTCATTGCTTGGGGCTTCCTGTGTTCTGTACTGTTCTCAAAGATATGGAAATTACATGTAATTCAAAATTCCATTTTTTTTCTTACAAGTTGCAGGACCAGAACCTGCTTCTCTGTTCAAAACTGTTTTCTGAAAGGTGGCTGTGTGAGCCACTGCTAATCCATGCTTCAGCTGCAAGGTGGTTCTGCTGTCAACTGTCTGTCTAGGTCTGTTTACCCTTTTTTCCTGTGGACCTGTTGCTGCTGTTTTGCTGTCCACCCCTCAGCTTTGGGGATGTCCCATGGTCTAAAAACCTATTCCAGGTCCTGTACTGTATGATTAAGATAATAGGAATTCCTATGAAAATTCCTTATATTGGAGTACAGGACACAGTTCCTTCCCTTTTTTCTCTGATATCCTTACTAAAAAAAAAACTGAGTGGGCTGGATTATGTGGGTACTCTGGGGTTTTGTCCCAGCAAACATTTTCCTTTGTCCAATCATATACACATAGAACCAATTCCTGTGTCCTCTACTGTACTCCAAGATGTGGTATTTACAGGTACATCAAATTTCCATTATTTATGTAGTTCATAATAATCATTGCTTTCTTTCTGTGCTTATAGGCTCAGAAAGAACTGTTGGATGCAGAGATGGATTTCCACAAACGTCTGTCCTCCGGTGAAGACACAACAGAATTGAGAAAAAAGCTGAGTCAGTTACAAGTTGAGGTGAGTTGGTAGTGGGTTGTTTTTAGTATGGGAAATGTCTCGTTATATTAACATAACAAAATCTTCCCATCAGTTACTGTATATCAATTCCAAAACCTCAGACTCAAATAGAGGACTTCAATTAAATTGTTGTTAACCAAATAGAGGGTACATACAGTTTAGCGATCCTTAAAAATCCCTGATTCAAACAAAGGAATGGGGGAGGGGGAGGCATTGGTAAAGGTTGGTACACATTTATCTTTTTATGAATAATCTAAAAAAAAATCTGCTGTAGTGAGTACCAGACAGTCTTGTTTTAAACTTGAACTCTAGGCAGATAAAACTGGCACAAATGAATCCAGCTCTGTCATCATTAGTACATCATTAAATTAATTCACTTAACCACTTGACCTCTGGAAGATTTACCCGCCCCCCCCCCCCCCCCCCCCCCCTTCATGACCAGGCCATTTTTTGCTTTTTGGCACTGCATTACTTTAACTATCAGTTGCGCGGTCATGCAACGCTGTACACAAACACAATTTGTACCATTTGTTTTTCCCACAAATAGAGCTTTCTTTTTGTGGTATTTGATCACCACTGGGTTTATATTTTTGTGCACTATAAATTAAAAATACCACAAATTTTGAAAAACAATATTTTTACTTTCTGCTATACAACATCTTCAATAAAAAAAATTAATAAATCTAATTTAGACCAATATGTATTTTGCTACACATTTTTGGTAAACAAAATCCCAATAAGCATATATTGATTGGTTTATGCGAACGTTCGTTCTAACGTCTACAAACTGTGTTATGTACTGAAATGTTTATTTTTGTGCTAGTAATAGCCGCAACCAACGACTTATAGTGCGACTGCGATATTGCGGCAGACAATCTGACACTTTGTGGGATCCAGTGACACTAATGCAGTGTCAGTAGTAAAAATATGCACCAACACTACTAATGACACTGGCTGGGAAGGGGTAAAATGTGTGCCTAACCAGGGTTTTTGTGGGTACAGTGTGCTTCTTTCACTAAGGGATGTGCTGGATTTTATTCCATGCTTTTGTGTGGCAAAGCTGTGTAAATCTTAGTCCTGCTAGACAAAAACACAAACCATTTTCAGTTCTTAAAACAGTTGTTGTTTATATACAGTATTTGTGTATTTAGCCGTTTGCCTGAGGTTCACTTTTGAATAGATGGTTGTATTACATATGGTGGAACGATCTTAATGTCAGAAGAGTTTTTAAATCTGTTCTACCAGCCTTGTGATCCAAGGACCCAAGCCAGGTTAGCACAGCCAGGTCCAGCACTCCCTGAGATTTTTCTGCAGTGCAGCTGACCATTGAGGTCATATACAAATACATTTAGTGAATACTTATTGGTCTTTAATGCTAAAGAACTGAGCCAGAACTAATAACATTAAGTTTACTTATAGCCTATAAAACCAACTTATTTGCAGTCTTTCTCAGTAAAGCCAAAAAGGTAAGGATCTCAGGCACTCATCAAACATGGACATTTGCCATTTAAACTGATTCAGAAAATACGGCCTACCCATGGAGTATTGTAAAGTTTCTTCGCGCCAGCCATCTCCTGAACCTTTTTTTTCCTGCTAGCTAAATTCATATACAATTTGTGACAGTTTAATTCCCAGAATGCCCACAGTGCAGCGCTATGGTGGTGAGTTACACAGCCATTCTCACTACAGCATGTTCTAACAACTTGCACTCAACTGGGTTGCAGACCAGTTGACAAGTCTTTTATGCAGTAGTAGAAGAAATAACAAGTGTGTGAGTTGCAGTGTTGGTGGAGAATCAGTGACAGGAAGTTGGAACAGCAGATTACCTGTTAGTGAAAATTGGCAAAAGTGCAAGTGAAACTTTAGCTCTGTAACAACAGGCTTGTGGTGAACATTCCATGAAGAATTCAAGGGTTTTTGAATGGCATAGGCAGTTTAAGTAGGAGCAGGACCATGTCCACAATGATGCAAGAAGTGGGCAGCCAAAGACGCAAAGAATGGATGCAAATGTGGACAGTGTGAACCTCGTAATCTCAGATTGAAGATTGAGTGATGGCCGAAGAATTGAACTTGAACAGGGAAACAGTGCAGCAGATTCTAACATATTTAGGAATAAAAAAGATTTCTGCATAGACAGCACCTTGAATCTTGACAGAAGAGAGAGAATTTCATCTTCAAATTTCATCCCACCTTTTGAAGAATGCAGAGGTATTTCATAGGGTTATTATCTGTCCATTCTGGGAATTAAATGGTCACCCCTCATAGTAGCTTCTAAACTGTGAAAATGCAAGTCATTGTCTCACCCCACCATTCTTTCTTTGGTTCCATTACAGGCAGTTTCCACATACACTGGGAGCCATTTCTCTGTGTGTGGTGTTTCTGGATAATTGTTCACTGATTGACTTACACATTTTTTTCTTGTAGTTTATCAAATTTATTCTAAACTTGGGTTTTTTTTCTTCCTCAATATATACATAGGCTGCTCGCTTAGGAATATTGCCTGCTGGCCGGGGCAAGTCTGTGTCTACCCAGATCAGAGGGCGAGGACGAGGTCGTGGTGGAAGGGGTAGAGGGTCATTAAGTCATATGGTTGTGGATCATCGACCCAAAACTATATCGGTTTCTGGTTTTTATGAGAAAGAAAAGGAGGAGTTGCTGCAACACTTTGCTGTAAGTAAAATCTTAAAGGATTTCATGAATCGGCTTAATCAATGGTCTAACTAATTTGCAAGTTGTGATCAATATCTGCTGTTACCCTTCCACTTACCATGCCTAACCTTTTTGTGTGTGTGTTTTTTTTTTTTTTTTTTTTGTTTTTGTTTTCTAGTAGTTTTTTCTTTTTTGAGGATCAGATCACATGTTATGGCAAATTACTGCAGAAACCAGTTCATTCCATAGGGGTCCCTTACTTTTTCTTACCACTATGTGTAATGTCTATATAACACTACCCTCTTCACTGATTGACAATGCTACTGTCCAAGATTAGCTACGTTGCTCTTCCAGTGAAGCAGTGGAGGAGTAAATTTAGTCACCCTAAGACAGGAGGTGTGTTAGGCAGGGTGTCAGGCAGTCATTTTTCATGTTAAGGTTAGTAGCCTATTGATGGGGGCAAATATCTCTGGAAGAAAGCTTTTCCCATCTAGGGTACCCAGTAAACAAGTACATATGTCAAATGGAATTGCAACATAAAAGACGTTAATTATGGTATAAATGGTATCTCTCCAATACCTATGAGATTTATGGCATTTCCGTAACATGCATCAAATCAGCAGGGCCATCTTTACATTTAGGACAAGCATCAATTTCTCTATATTGCCGGTGGAACAGTTTTTGGGGGGTACAGTACTTTGTGTACAAAATACATTTGGGTAATAGTGATACAATTGGTACCGACAGAGCTTTGCTCTCTAAAGTTTTCCTTGGAAGAACCTATATCTTCCTCCTGACCTGCATCCTAGTACGTTACTCTAGTACTTGGTATATTAATTTTTACAACTGTGAGATAAGCCCTTTTTTTGTTGTAGTTTGTGCCAATAGTGGTGCGTATGGTATATGTACTAACAAAAACTTTTAGATTTAAGCTTGCGATGACAGGACTTGCCTAAGCTGCAGGTATTGAAAAAAATTTAGTCCATATTCTTCCTGCAGGGTTTGAAAAGTTTTTAAGTACATTGTCTGAATATAATTAATGGATGTTGTGCACACCATGGGAATATGAGGATTCAAAACCCTATGGCTTACAAAGCTCCTCATACTGTAAGATATTTTTTATTGAGGTAAATTGCGTATATCCTTCACATTCTGCAAAGCCTTTATAGTATTCCATACGCTAGCCAGAATCTAGAGTGGAGTATTGCAGGTTTTTAACTGGAGAACCTTTCTCCAGTTGAGAAAAGTGGGTATACCTAGAGGAGTGAGACAAGTTCCAGCCATCAAATTGCTGTAACAAGGCCATCGTAAAGTTTTGGGAATGGGGCCACTGCTTGACCTGCACCTTTAGGCATTTTGAACGGTAGAAAGTTTTATACGAGGATGTTGCTTTTCCTGTATCGTTCTTTAAAAAGGAAGTACTATTAATTTATACGATTTTTGTATAATTCAGATCGGCAGATTATGAAGGCTTTGCCCCATCTTTATTGCTTATTAAAATATGCTCAGTGTTCAAATTGCCAGCAGTGTATGAGTGGCAAAACAGATTCTGTAGTCTTCCCAGCATCTCTATGAAGAATAGGCAATCTTCCCTTAAAAAAAAACTAGGAAGTACATTTTTGCTCTCTGCACTTGATTCCACATTTCACAATGGTTATTCAGGAACTGGGTGTGCAGTGCATTCTGTCATTTTATTGAGACATGGTGCATTTTCATCAGCAACATCGGTGCCATGGGCAGACTAGTGCTCTAAGTTGCATATGTACACAGGAACCTTAAGGCCCACTTCACGTGGGCAGACACCGGCAGTGGATCTGCCTGTTCATCAAGGGATATGTCCGCTGATCCCTGCTGAGCAGACGGATGACAGGTTAGTGTCTGCTCCCCTTATGCAGAGCCCACTTACTTTTATAGGCAGTTGGATGTAAATGGATTGTACATTTACATCTGACAGTCATCTGATCTGATCCAGTAGACAGATGGTGAACAGATCCCCATTCATCTGTTTTTTTTTAGTTCGTTTGCAGGCGGATGTAAACAAACATCTGCTGCTCCATAGAGGGCAATGGATGGTCCGATCGGGTCCACCTGAAAATCAGGTAGGTGGACCCTATCGGTCCACCCATGGGACATAAATGAACAATACATTTGTATTCAGTATTGGGAGCTGTAGTTTTTGAGGTGGGGCTTTTAGTGAGTTTGTAAATATAACTCAATGTACCAACCATACCTGACCTCTAATTTATTAATAACCTGATCATTTAATATAACCCCTAAACCTGTCTGTATAAAGTGGTGACAATACATATCTCTATTTACTCCTAGTACTGACTTTTTTAGATTTATTTTTTTTTTTTTTTAAGTGCTGCAGGGGACCAAAGTCCCAGCTCACTTGTTTTATGCAAAGAAGGTACTCCTAGATGGGCTATACTTTCTTGCATCCTGGCTAAATGAATTGGCTCATCAGGATGGTGGAGCTGTAGCGGCCCTGATTTTGACTCTGCCAGGAAGTGTTCAAGTTTGCACACTACAAGGCACTTGATCCTAACAATGAACTTCACTTGTATGCTCCTTATGCAGGCCATAGATGGGGAGAAAAACTGCAGATTTTTCTTTTAAAAAACGAAAAATCGGTTGTTCAAGTGGCCGACGTTACCATCAATGGTAAAAAAAATCAGCCGATTTTCTACCCGTCTAGAGCCGGCAAAAAGTGTCCCTGCAGAGAGCTCTGCTATTTCTTTGACAGTTCTCTGACAGTTCCTTGACATTTATAGAAGTTGCAACAATGTATCTATTTGTTTCCATTTAGGATACAGATGTTTTTATTCGGAAACAAATAGATACAATGTTTCAACCGCTGTAAATGTCAAGGAACTATCAGAGAACTGTCAGAAATAGCGGAGCTCTCTGCAGAGACACTTTATGCTGGACTGGAATTCTTCTTATTTTCATCCTACTTCTTCTTCTTCTTCATCCTCATCCTCTTCTTCTTCTTCTTCTTCTCTCATCTCTCATCCTCTTCTTCTTCTTCTTCATCCTCATCCTCTTCTTCTTCTTCTTCATCCTCTTCTTCTTCTTCTTCTTCTTCATCCTCATCCTCTTCTTCCTCATCCTCTTCTTCTTCTTCTTCATCCTCATCCTCTTCTTCATCCTCTTCTTCTTCCTCATCCTCATACTTCTTCTTCATCCTCTTCTTCTTCCTCATCCTCATTCTTCTTCTTCATCATCCTCATCCTCCTCTTCTTCTTCTTCTTCATCCTCTTCTTCATCCTCATCCTCTTCTTCTTCTTCATCATCCTCTCCTCTTCATCATCCTCATCCTCTTCTCATCTTCTTCTTCATCCTCATCCTCTTCTTCTTCCTCATCCTCTTCTTCTTCCTCATCCTCTTCTTCTTCCTCATCCTCATCCTCTTCTTCTTCCTCATCCTCATCCTCCTCTTCTTCTTCTTCATCCTCATCCTCTTCTTCATCCTCATCCTCATACTCTTCTTCTTCATCATCCTCATCCTCTTCTTCTTTCATCCTCCTCTTCTTCTTCTTCTTCTTCATCTCTCTCATCCTCTTCTTCATCCTCATCCTCTTCTTCTTCATCCTCATCCTCTTCTTCTTCATCCTCATCCTCTTCTTCTTCTTCATCCTCATCCTCTCATCCTCTTCTTCTTCATCCTCATCCTCATCTCTTCTTCTTCATCCTCTTCTTCATCGTCTTCCTCTTCTTCTTTTTCTTCTTTTTGTCTTCCTCTTGCAGGTCACTGCTCATGCGCAGATTTTTTATCGGTAAAAAAAATCGGCCGATTTGCCCACTAATTGCCGCGAAAATCGGGCGATCGGCAAAATTGGCCGATTTTTTTCCAACTTTACCGAAAAACAAAAACGGCCAAAATACCGAAAAAACGGCCGACCAAATCGCCCACTAACGATCCGAAAATCGGCCGATTTTCGACCCGTCGACCCTATGGCCTGCATGTTAAATGTACTGTTGCAAATTTTTTGTAATATCTGTTTTAATAAGTGCAAACTATATCTTTTGCTCCTGCCAGAAATCTTGTGAGCTAATCACTTCATGTACTGTCTGCCTTAGTATTCCCAGCTGTTTTTTGTGGAGTACACAACTCCTGTTATGAAAAGGATAGTTGGAGAAGTATTCTGTAGATCTGTTGTAGGGTGTCGACAACATTGTTCCATAGATACAGTACTTTGAGCATTGTCACACTAAGATTTGAATTGTGTTACTACCAGAACCATAAAGTGAAAATAAGGGAAACATACCTGAAAAAATAAAACTATAATGGCACCACTCATATAAGGACTCATAAGATGTAGAAAAATTACTGCTGCATTACAGTGTTTACCGTATTTAATTTTTCTTCGCAGATATATTTGTAATTTTGTGTCTAGAGTATGTACCTTTTATCATGAAACCTCCTAAAGCCCAACAGTAATTCCTGATGCTAAATTAACCCCTGGAAGACCATACTTATCCTACTCCAGAAAGTCTTGTTAATGTAAAAATTATCCAAAACCTTATTACTCATACGAAATTAACCCTGATAGGACCATACATACGTTAATACGTTATTGGGTGCCTGAAATACTGGGACCAAAATCTACCAGGCCCATGCTGAGATCTTTGCACCAAAAATGAAGGCTCCCCTATTTATGATACCATTTTGTGGTGATTTTTTTTTTTAATATGAATTTTGTATGTTATTGTCTTACTGTAAACCTTTTTTAAATGTAAATTTCTAGAAATTTGGTGAAGTTGATGACTTGAAAGAAGAGGAATTCCCACCAACTGTAATTTTAACGTTCAAGACAAGGCAAGAGGCTGAAAATGTAAGAAATAAATTTGCAATAGTCTAATACAGTACATCCTTTGTAAGAGTAAGACTGTCTAAACAAAAATGACTTTGTAGTCCACATACTACTTGTTTACACATCTGTGGCTCTTATGTGTAGTGTTTAATGACCAGAGGGCAAGCTTTTCATTTCTCCGGTAAATAACATCAGAACTAAGGAT